TTTAGGGGTTTAGTTAGGGGTTTAGGCTTAGGGGTTTAGGCTTAGGGGTTTAGCTAGGGGTTGAGAGGTTTAATGGGTTCAGGGGTGGGGTTTTGGGTTTAGGGGTTTTGGGCTTAGGGGTTTAGGAGTCTAGGGGGTCTTGGCTTTAGGGGTTTGGGGTTTAGGGGTTTAGGAGTTTAGGGGATTTTGGTTTGGGGTTTAGGGGTTCAGGGGTTTAGGGTTTATAGGGTTTGAACTTTTGCGAAGTATTGCAAGCCTTTGGGACGACGACAGACCTTGCGCTGGCAACACAGTGAAAGACACCCCAAGCCCTAACAACAGCCTTAACCCCCAAACCCTTACAGAACCTTCTTAAAGTCTTGTAGAACCCTCATAAAGACCCCTTCAACGCACAACACTTCAATAAACATTGAAGATCCCTCAGCGAACCCGTACAGGACTCTCCTAGAACCCTTAAAGGCCCTGTGACCCCTTCAACGCACAACACTTCAATAAACATTGAAGATCCCTCAGCGAACCCGTACAGGACTCTCCTAGAACCCTTAAAGGCCCTGTAAACGCTCCCCAATTGAAAAAACCCTTCTAGAACCCTTAGAAAAGCGGCAAAAGACTTTCATAGAACCCTTATGCCCCCTATAGTCCCGAAGTCGAAGCCTAAACCCTAAAAGCCCAAAAACGTTAAAACGCCTAACGCCCTCAGCCCGAAAGATCGATGCTAAAAAGGAGCGGTCCGCAAACCTGCTCATGGGTCAGGTCCTCCCTTCAGATCCTCGTTTCACCTTCAGTGTTGCGGCTTAGAGTTTACGGGTTTAGGGTTTTAAGGCTTTGGGATTAGAGGGTGGAGTTTACGGGTTTAAGGCTTAGGGGTTTGGGTTTAGGGTGGAGTTTACTAGTTCAGGGTTCACGGCTTAAAGATCAGGGTTTGGGGTTTAGGATGGAGTTTGCGGGTTTAGGACTTAAGGCTTAGGGATTTGGGTTAAGGTCACCTTCGTCCCAAGGCCAGACTTTCAAATCTGCGGATGCTTTTAATTATCAAGGATTCACCAATACAATACAGGATTCAGATTCATGGCTTTGGTAGGGTTTTAATTTAAGATTTACCATCTACGGTGGTGGCCCGTTAATAGAGACTCTTTATACATATCACCAGAACCCCTTTTGAGAGTTCCTTGCAGGGTTCCTTGACGGACTCTTAGATTGCCCATTCTTTTTGAACAGCTTCCTCTTGGAACTGAGCGAAGAACAAGCCCCGAGCCACTCCTCTGAACACCTCGCGAACAAAGCACAGAGAAAGCCCACATACCTGTAAATCCCTCTAAGACCGTTAGAATAGTCAGCCCTACCCTGCAGAACACGACAGCAACTTGTAAAACCTTTAGAGAGAAGCATGCCGAACAACAAAGACCCACGGCACCCGTTCAAGCCTGATTGTGCCATCCGGACTTTGCGGCGCAGGCACGGTTGGCACAGTGAAGCTTGAGTTGCAATGCAGCAGTCGGCGAGCGGTGTGAGCTTAAAGTTTAGCAGCCAGGGTTATTACTAAGTTACGCACACGTATCAACACTTATTAATACTCAGAACACCAGTTGAGGTACTTGCAACCTTACTTGCTATGTTTTTACCCTGATCGAGCCCCAGAAACTCTCCGCTACACGAGTGGATGAGGAGATGGAAGGAGATAAGGTCTTTCGAGAATTCGGGCTTTAGGTGATTTTTGGAGGGGGAATGTCTGGCTGATCTATGGACTCGCCACACACGCACTCCTGCTACTGCTGATGCACCTTCTGATAGCACATGCGATGCAGGTGATCGTGGATGAGACGCCTCTGAACACACTGCGAAAAACTCCTTTGGCATGCCGTGAAGCTGCCCTAAACCCAAAACCCCAAAACCTGAAATCCTGTAAGAAACCCCAATTGCAAAGCCCTAGAAAACCCCTAGAACCCTAAACCCATTCGCGGACGTACAGCAAACCCTAAGCCCTGCAACCTAAAGCCTATTTACAAAGCCCTATAACACCCAAAACCCTAAACCCTAAAACCCTAAAACCCTAAACCTTTACAGAGAATCACCCTTTTCTGCACTCTTCTCTTCGGACCTCGAAGTGCTCCTTCTTCGTGGGTTGGCCTCATTCAGCTCAAAAACGGGGCTTGGAGATCATGTGAGCAGTTCTCTAATATAACCTAAATACCCACTACTAAGGACCATAAGGGCTCCATTCAAGGGCCCTTGGGGGGTCCTGGTTAGGGTCCAGGTTTATTGCGGGCACGTCCGAGAAGTGCTCGCCGCGGCCCTGACTGCTAGCGGGAAGGAGCCTCTAGGGCTTAGCTTAGGTCCCTTTTTCCTCCGCCGCTCTTGTCCTCTCTGACTTGTGGATTCCCCTAAGACTCCAAGTCTACAAATAGTACCTACTTTGGGGTCCAAAGTCTATAAATGGTACCTACTTTGGGCTATTTGGAGTCTTAGGGTTCCTGGGGATAGCACGGAAAGCGACTTTTGCCCTCGGAGTCGTCCTTCGCTCGTTCCATCCAGATCTCTTGCGGCGGAGCCAGCTACATCCTCCACGGGGTTGGCCCAGGTCCAAAAAAAGGGAGAATAGGATCTTGGGGCCCACTGTACTATGATTATAGTATATTATAGTGATAAGGAACCACCAAAAATAGTATAGGTATTTTTTAGGCCCCTACAGTATCCGAAACTGCCCCAAACAGATCCAAGCCTCTTCGAAATCGTCCCATAGCTCTCCTTGGCTTCGGTAAGGGTTTAGGGTTTAGGGTTTAGGGTTTAGGGTTTAGGGTTCAGGGTTCAGGGTTCAGGGTTCAGGGTTTAGGGTTTAGGGTGAGGGGTTTGGGGTTTAGAGTTTAGGGTTTAGGGTGAAGGGGTCGGCTAAAGTCCTCTGAAGTCAAAGCAATCTTGGAGCTGTCGCAGTCAAGAAATATGTGCAAGGGCACACACTAGAGGTGCCGTAATGACTGGAATAGGGCAGGCGCCCAGACTTAGGGCGAAACAGAGTGCCATTAGATGCCGCTGCTTCCGAGTCTTGCAGTGCCATGTAGACCCTAAACTGCCGACCCTAAACCCTAAACCCTAAACCCGAAACCGTGCAGATCCTCAACTGCCGAACCTAAACCCTAAACCCAACAAAAAACCCGAAACCCTAAACCGTGCAGATCCTAAACTGCCGAAACCTGAACCCTAAACCCTAAAACCTAAACCGTGCAGATCCTAAACTGCCGAACCTAAACCCTAAACCCTAAAACCCGAAACCCTAAACCGTGCAGACCCTAAACTGCCGAAACCTGAACCCTAAACCCTAATCCCTAAACCGTGCAGACCCTAAACTACCGAAGCCGGAATCGCTGCCGAGGCGCCGTGTCTGCTGCTTTGCCCTCCAGCAATCCGAAGCGCTCATCAAAGCAGGTGCCAATCTGGCTAGAGTATTTGGAGGTTTCCAAAAAAGGGTTTAGGGCTTAGGTTTTTAGGGTTTAGGGTTTAGGGCTTCGGGCTTAGGGTTTAGGTTTTAGGGCTTAGGGTTTAGGGTTTAGGGCTTTAGGGTTTAGGATTTAGGTTTGAGTTGCTTTGTTTTGGAGGTTTCCAAAAATAGGGACCCTAATATAGTACCCTAAATAATAAGTTCCTTACTAGCAGAACTTTTTTTGGGGGGGAAGAAGGGTTATAGGCAATTATGTGTACGTAGTAAGTATGTAAGGTTACAAGTACCTTAATTGGGGTGATAAGGGATGTTAAGTCTAGTTACACCCCTTCTTCTAACCTGAGTTACTTGATCCTATGACCTGGTAAATAGGGCTTTACGGTCTAGGGTTTAGGGTTTAGGCTTCTAGTCAAGGGCAGCTCACTCCCAACACCCCTTGCAGGTTTTGCCTTGGGATTTTGGCTCCCGGGTTGAGGATTCAGAACTTTTCAATCCGAAACCCTAAACCCTAAGCCCTAAACCCTCAGGAGTTGAGAATGTGACGTTAGAGCACTTGGGTCCCAGACCCTGAAGCCTCTGAAACCCACTGTCGGGCTTCCGGGATGTGGAGTACCTTACTTTGGGGTCCTTATGATAAGGATCTTACTATGTAGGGTTATCTTAGGGTCCCCTATTTTCGGAAACCCCCATATAGTTATCATAAGGAAGCCCAAAGAATAACAGTAATTGTCGGGTCGCGGGGTACTACCAGGAGTTATGCAGACCTCTATCACGTGTCTCAGCAGGATAGCGTCCGCGCTTTAGGTTTGGTACCCCAACAAGTTTTCCGAAGGGTTTAGGATGTCAAAGGCTTCAGGGCTACTCATGGTCAAAACTCCCCTTTCAAAAAACACATGGCAGTGGAAGTAGCTTTAACACTAGCGTAGTGCAACGGTTTTCCTCGAAATCGCAATCGTTTGTTTTTCTAGGCTCCCTGGCCGCCATGACGAAGAAGTCCCAAGAGGCCTGTCCCTTAAAATCTATGTAGCCCTTATAGTACCCCTAAAGCAGTAACCTACTGTATAATTAAGTGGGCTCTTGGGGAAGTCTCAATGACCAAAATCTTGCTGGTGCCGATATTCGGTTCACAAGGCCTAAACCCTAAACCCTAAACCCTAAACCCTAAATCCTACACTCTAAAACCGAGAACAAGAAATCTAAAATTCCCCAAGCCATCACCCCGCCTAGGCCTAGGCCCGAAGCCTGACTTTGTAGAACCCTTAAAAATCGTTTAGGGTTTAGGGTTTAGGGTTTAGGGTTTAGGGTTTAGGATCCTTATTGTAGAGATCTTCTCATAGCCTGTATTGACCCCATACAAACCCGATGAAAAGGTCTGAATGCTTCCCAGTCGTGCCCCTGTAGAATCCTGATATGAGCATAGTTCGACTGACTAAACCCTGACAAGAAAACTTCATAAACCTCTCAAGACCCAGTATAAGGACGGTACTCTCATGACTGAGGCGGCGATATTCGAGAACCGTTATCGAAACACCTATAAAACCTTCCTAAACCCTAAACCCTAAACCTTATAAACCCTAAACTCAAAACAATAAACCCTAAACCCTAAACCCTGAACCCTAAACCCTAAACCCGGATGCCTGTTCAAGTGGCACCCCCCTTGTCTCGGGGAGCCAGAGCCCCAAGAGCAGCGCGACGATGCAAAAGCCGCCAAAGAGGAGGAAGGTCCCAAACCCGATAGAGGACCTTAGGGTGTTGGGGTTAAGGTTTTAGGGTTTAGGATTGAGGGTCTAGGGTTTATAACGTTCAGGGCTTAGGGTTTGAGGGTTTAGGGTTTAGGGTTTACGGTTTAAGGGTTTAGGGTTTAGGGTTTAGGATTTAGGCTTAAGTTGTCTCTCACTGCTGTTGCGAGGATTTGAAGGTTCAGGGTAGGATTAGGGGTCTCCCTTCTTCGAGGTCCTTCCAAGAAGGATCCTACTTTCGGGTGTCTCGAATCTCGGAGGGCCTCTAGAAGCCTTAAAGGTTTTTATGAGGGTTTTGGGGTAGGCTTTGCTTACAAACATACAGAAAACCTAAGGGGAGACAGTACTACTACGTTCGTCATCAGAGCCCCCCGTACTTCTGCAATTAGCGAATGCATCCTGCACGCAGCGGTCGAGGCTGCAACTGAAGCTTTTTGCAGATGGCACAGGCCGAGGCACAACAAGATGGGCGAAAACTGGGCAATGAGGAAGTTCCCCACCTTGGCCAGCCGAAACGGGATAGTGTAGGGGCCTTATCAACGAGCATCGCGCGTTGATTAGCATCATGCCATACATATCTTGGAGTTAAACATGAGTACGATTACCAACTAGACACATATTTAGTTTGTGGGTTTGATCGCATGAGGTAGAACTCCCAACTTCCGGCAGCCACGTGGCCCAATTCGTCATCGTTGTCACTCCCACGCAGCGAGCCCGATGACGCAACGGGAACATCTCTGCGCCTGGTGTTGAATGCACCCCTCCAGAGCGCGTCAGACAGAATAGAATTAGGGTTCTGGCATACTGTATTCCTAAACCCTAAACCCTAAATAGTATCGGCAATTATTTAGGCCCCTCTCCTGGAGTCATGAGAGATGGGGAAGGTCCTTGGCCTGGGTTGTGCCCCCTCAGCAACTTGAAGAGTTTAGCATTTAGAGCTTGGGGTTACAAGGGTTTAGGGTGTATTGATTCGGGCTTATAGGGTTTATAAGGTTTAGGGTTTAGTGTTTAGAGTTTAGGGTCTAGGGCTTTCGAAAGCTCCTTGGGCAGGCCCTGGGAGTGCGTCAGCTGGGCCCAGTTCTCGTTTTGGGGCTCAGGGGTTTAGGGGTTTAGTGGTTTAGGGTTTAGGGGTGTAGGGGTTAGGGGTTTAGACCATAAAACCCTAAACCCCTGAACCCTAAAGGGTTTAGGGGTTTAGGGTTTAGGGGTTTCACATCACCGGCTCTAGACTCCAGTTGCACTTGGTAACCTTTGGGCTGATCAAGCGTCAACCTAAGCAAAATGAGTCGCAACATGGCTAAAGGAAATTACAGGTGGGGAGTTTAGGGTATATAGGGCTTCTATAAGGCTTCCGTAAGGTATATAGAAGTTCTATAAGGCTCCTATAACGGTCACTACCCACCTGAAAATGTCCTACATGGGGTCGCAAAACCTGACACCTTTACACCCAGAGCTCCTCCGAGTCAGCAACCGACGACAGCACCTTTGGGATTTACCTATAGTTTCCATTATAGTTCCTTTTTTGGGTTTTTATGGTTAGGATCCTATAACATAAATTTGGATAACCAAAAAGAGGAACTACAATGGAGACTATAGGTAGGCTTGCGGACGCAAGTTGCAATGCAGCCAGGGAGCAGTAGACCCAGACAGTCGGGCCCCACGTGCTCGCAAAGCTTGCAATGAAGCAGAGGACCTTCATTCATATGGGGGGGCCTTCCTAATCAGAACAACCAGAACAAGGTTTGGGAGACTGTTGCAATGTCCTCACATCGGGACTATTTGGAATTAGCACCACATACTATTACGCATTGCTCCGACCTCGACATTATACAGAGCAATTGTCTGTTTCAGCATAGGTTGGCGCAAGGGGTCTTAGTATTAGAATAGGGTTCTGGGCTCCTTTATAGTATGGTTATAGTAAGGAATTCCCGCAAGGAATAAGATGGGTAATTGTTTAGGCTTCTAAATTACGAGCGGACAATGAAGAACTGGGAGAGCTAGCTAGTCAGAAGCTCAGAATGAGCCCTAAACCCTAAACCCTAAACCCTAAAAGCCCTTAAAGCCCTAAACCCTAAAAACCCAAAACCCTAAACCCTAAAACCCTAAACCCTAAACCCTAGACTTAGCCATAAAGCCGCTTAAAGCCTAGAACCCTTAACACTGAAGCCTCAACCTGTGACCGCAAGAAGGGAGCACGCCCAGGCCCTGAACCCCGCCAAATTAACCCGTAAAGGTTCCGTTAAACCCCTCTTGAGGAACCCTGAAAGGTTCCGTCAAAAGAGCCAGGAACCCTGAAGGGCTCTATCACGGTTCCTTTATGGGGTCTAGGATGGTTCTGTAAGGGTTTCTTTAGGAGAACCCTATTGGGTAGCGGAATTCATCAAGCGGCCATGGCTGCAAGCACGACGCCCACCAGATGGGAGGACGGCTTGCTGTCCTCCCCATAGCCTGCTTAGATCATGGGACGTAGTAACGGGTTCCGTAAATGATCGTGGGACTTAGTCACTTAGTAAGGAAAAGGGCTCCTTAAAGGATCATGGGATTTAGTAACTAAAGTCTAGGGCTTTAGGGTTTAAAAAGGGGTTTAGAGCCTTTAGAGCTCAGAAGTTGTAGGGTTTACATAGGGTTTAGAGTTTAGGTGTTTAGGGGGCTTGCAGGGCCATGGGGACTTAGTAACTTAAAGGGCTCTCTAAAGGGCTCTGCAAGGGATCTATAAATTACGACATGGGGATTACTTGCTAAGTTCCCTGACCCTCCAAGTGGAAGTTCGGGTTTGCGGGTGTGGGGGGCTGAGGGGTTCGAGAGTTCTTATGAGGCCAGGGGTTTAGGGATTAGGGAAGGATTGATTAAACCCTAAACCCTAAACCCCTAAACCCTAAACCGTATGATTAGGGTTTAGGGTTTGGGATTTGGTGCTAGGATGCCGAAACCCTGCGTGGAACCCAGCAGATCTACTTCCATTTTCAGGCTCCTTGTTAAAGTAGGGGCCTTAATAACTAAATAACTAAATTAGGGTTTCCGGGCTCCTTTTTGGTATATTTATGATAAGGAACCCACCCGAAATAGTATTGGTAATAATTGAATTTAGGCCCCTACATTATTCTGTAAGCTCTTGCAGATGCAGGCTTCTTCGGGCAACAGGTAAGCTCGGCAAACATATCACATCCCTAGTAGCCATCTAGTAGCCGTGTAGTACGCATTATAGTCACCCTGAACCCCAAACCCGAAGCCCTAAACCCTAAATAAACCCCTAAGC